TGTAAGCGAGAAGCAACACCGCATGCCACACGCCTTCGTTATTTATGCCTGGCATGCGTATGACAGCATGTGCATCATCCGCGCTGTATTTTTCTACAGTTGATTCGCTGATTTTTTCTATCTGAGGTGTTTCTCTGTATCAATTCATCATCCATCCGTCTACCTGTTTCCTGACCCACTCACTCGACCTTTTCACTGCCCATCTCCCCGTTCCTTCTCCTCCGACCTCCCCCCCCCTTCCACGCTCCCTTTTTATCCTCCAAATGCCTTCTCTCCTGCCTGGCCCTCAGGTATGGCTATGTGAGCAACACCCAGATCAAATTCATAATTGTCGTTGATGGCCTCGATTTGAGGGAGAGCGACATAAGAAATGTAAGGAAACTTTTCATACAATCCTCTCCAGGAGAGAATGCAAATGCATGTGGAGTTTTGAGGAATACTTCAGGCTCTGCAGGCAGAGATTGCAGGAGGTTGCTTGCTGGGGCAAGTATGCGCTGGAGACGTTCTGAAGCTTCCATGGTGGCATTGTTTTGATCTATTTATTATGCATTCTGCCTCATCCCATGCATTCCGCCCATCATTAATCCCTCACACCCCAACCCCCCTTCCACACCAAACTTGCCCCCACCCATTCATCCCCCCCCTAATCAGTTCTTCAAGCGCCTTCATTCTGCATATGTTGATGCCACCTCCAACCCTTTCCATGTGCCGGGGAAACGCATCACTTCACCTGCTTTTGCGGAGAGAGTTGGGGCTTTAGTGCATTCAGTATCACCTCCCAAAGCAACGTAGCATGGCTACAATGTTGCCAGAAACATTTCAGACATCACTGCATTGCTGTCGAACACGACGTTGATTTTTGTGCTTGTAAAAAAATGTCCTTAGAGGTTTCTGGAAAATTTTGCAGGGCTGCTCTGGCTGTGGGAGCAAATGGTTTGGATTGGCTTTGTATGTACCATCGCTTCTTATTTTTAAGTTCCTATTCTTAAGTGTGCGTGCATATATCAAACCAGACACCAAGTCTCAGCAGTTTGTCGCTGCAACCAAGGAACAAACTTCTGCCTAACCGTTGACGAGGGCCTAGGCGCGAATCACTCCCCCCCAAACCCTGCCTATATCCGCCTTCGGTTTCCGAAGCTAGGTTCAGGCTGTCGCGCCGGCCTAGTCCGAACCTTCGTTTCCCCCGAGCTCGACAGGCGCGAGACCGAACCTTTCTTTGCCCTGGGAGGCGGGCCCCTACGTACTCCCCCCCAGTCCAGACAACAGTCACATTGACAAGACAGGTGATGATGCGTGGCAGGCTCAGAAAATCCGAACCGATCATCCTACGCTGTGGAAAAACTCTACCCTCCCAACGTACCCGAGCTAAAACGAACCACGGACTTGTCGTGTGGCTTGTTAGTCACAAGCCCAAACCCAAACTACACCAATGAGATGGGCCCTCTGAGCCCTAGCCTCTGCTTCGGTGGTGCTTCTGACTATTCGGGCCCACGCGAAACGGACCCTGATTCGACGGTGATTGACACGTGAGTCCTCAACTCGCGACGCGGCCCCTCTCCGGCTTCGGCTCCTCGTTGCCTCCCTTGCTCACTTCCTCTCCGCCCGTCTCGACTTGTCCCCTCTAGGGCCCATCCTAGCCCCACCGGAAATTGCTTTCCCTCACAGCACAGACCATCCCACAAAAGCGGTCACGGCTGACGGGAATTTCACAGCTCCAGTTCTCACCTCACCCAAACCTTCCAGTTCAGCCCTCAAGAGCGGCAACAACGTTCTTGCTGCTAACGGGCGCCTGCTACTATTTCACTTCGCCGCCTCCATTAACCATCAATTCTGTTAAGGCTTATTCACCGCACTCTTTCCATGCTTCAACCATCCCGCTAGAATTCCGTCGATTGAGTGAGCCATCCCAGTGTAGCTTCACACAAGGCTCCATTCGATTCAGCTCTCCCGTCTCCCAAACCTGTCCTCCATCCGCACTCCTCCTGCGACCGCCATCGTCGCCATGTCGACCACGCCGAGCAGCACGCAGCCCGCGCAGCAGAGCTTGCTGGCGAAGAAGATGATCATGGGGGGCAGTGTGGTGCTCTGGATCGCTTTAAGCTTCTCCGTTATTATCTTCAACAAGTACATTCTCGACCGGAGACTACTCAACTGGCCATTTCCCATCAGGTGAGCTTTTGGGATCCTGGAACGGAGAAACTTGATAACGTAGTTCGGGCCTCTAACAGTACAATTGACGAACGAGCCCAGCTGTAGAAACCTGGACGCACGAGGACTCGCCTAGGTGCGTGGCTCTTTTTGTTACAGCACCCTTCGATCAAACTTCCTGTCCATAGACGTATAATCCAACCGGTAGAGCTCGCGACGGCATTGCCAGCTCGAGAGAAGCTGGAGGAGCAAAGAGAAGGAAAGCTAAGAGTAGAGTATGCAACTGTTTCGTGCCGCCACCCTATGCAGTTGCTGCCTGCAGCTCCCACTCTGAGAACCGCCTCTTCCGCATGTTGCCGCCTTTTATCCTTGCTGCCCCAATAGCACTAGCCGCCAGAATCCAGGTTCCAATTCTCGCCCTCGTCCTCATCGCCCTATCCTTCTCCCTCCCGTCCCCCCCAACCCCCACTCCCCTCTCTCTTCCGCAGTCTGACCATGATCCACATGGCGTTCTGCTCCTCGCTCGCCTTCCTCCTCGTGAACGTCTTCCGCGTGGTGCCGCCGCTGCCGGGCGGGCTCAAGCCCGAGACGTACTTCACGTGCGTCGTGCCCATCGGCGCGCTCTACGCGCTGAGCCTGTGGTTCTCCAACTCGGCGTACATCTACCTGTCAGTCTCGTTCATCCAGATGCTCAAGGCGCTCATGCCCGTCGCCGTCTACCTGCTCGGCGTCGCCTTCCGCAAGGACACGTTCCGCACCGCGACCTTCTCCAACATGATGCTCATCTCCTTCGGCGTCGCCATCAGCGCGTGGAGCGAGGCGAATTTCAATCTGACGGGCGTGCTGCTGCAGCTGTCGGCCGTCGCGTTCGAGGCGACGCGGCTGGTGCTCATCCAGATCCTGCTCAACTCCAAGGGCATCTCGCTCAACCCATCACCAGCCTCTACTACATCTCGCCCGTCTGCCTGCTCTTCCTCTCTCTGCCCTGGTTCCTCGTCGAGTTCCCCAAGCTCTTGCCGGTCATGGCGGCGGGCGCGCACCCCAGCATCATGGTGTTCGGCGTGAACTGCGTGTGCGCGTTTGCGCTGAACCTCTCGTTCCTGCTGATCGGGAAGACGTCGGCGCTGACGATGAACGTGGCGGGGATCATCAAGGACTGGCTGCTCATCGCCTTCTCGTGGTCCGTTATCGCGGATAAGATCACCACGTTCAACCTGCTCGGGTACCTGCTAGCGTTCGCGGGCGTGTGCTGGTACAACCACGTTAAGATGCAGGTACGTGCGCGGAACCGTCTGGAAACTAACTCATCGCATAGCCATATCCATCTTCCCTGTCATGCCGTACAGACACACTGTTTTCGGGCTTGTTATGTGGTCCTCATTCCTCCCTCCCACCTCCGTGACTCCCCTTGCTCCCACTTCCACAGGAGATGAACGCTAAGGAAGCAGCCAGAAAGCAAGCACAACAAGCGGATGAGGAGACGGTTTGCTTGAGGCCACCAGAGAAGCTCAGAAGTAGGCCAGACTGGCCTAAGGCTGTGGCTGTGGCTGCAGCACTTCCTGTCTCCTTTATTTCAATGCTCCCAATTGGTAGCCCATAGCTGTACATGATGAAGGTTTTAGGTGAATCCCCTGACATAGCTGCCCTTTCTAAATGACCGTCCAATCTTTGTTAGGTCTTAACATTCTCTGGTGAGAAGAATTGCTCTATTTGTTAATAGCGGGGTCAGTGCGCCCATAGCCCCCCCAGGCTCTGCACCTATTATCAGAAAGAAAATGATTGAACTAAAATGTGTGTGTACAAGGATATATAGACTAGGGTGTTGTACTAAGGCACAATCTAGTATAGTCTACAGTAACAACCTAAGTTACATTTGACACACCCCCTAGACTATATAGGGGCAGTGGCCTAACAAGGAAGAAGCAGCTCAGGGCGGCACCACTAGTCCAGCCTCTGAGACAAGGGTCTAAAGACCAGTCAGAAGGAGTACAGACAAGGCAAGAGCAAGCCCAGGGCGGGCACTACTAGTCCAGCACTGGGAGAGGCTACAAGACCAGTCTGGGTAAAATATATATATAAAGGACAGTAAAAAGTCAAGGCCCTAGCAAGTGAGAGGCTACAGGTGTCAGAAACCCAGTCACTAACCACTCGGTTAAAAGGGCTTGTTGAATAGCGGGTAAGTGCGCCCATAGCCCCCCAAGCTCTGCACTGTGACCCTTCCCCGAGAATCTCAAGGGCAACCCCAGCGGGTCACTCAACACCCCCCCCCGTTGGGATAGGTGGAAGACACGAGCGCCTCTGCAGCGCTGGCACTGGGAGTTGAACCCAAGACCTTTTAGCTCTGATGTACCATGTCAGAAACCCAGTCACTAACCACTGGGTTAAAAGGGCTTGTTGAATAGCGGGTAAGTGCGCCCATAGCCCCCAGGCTCTGCACCTGTGCCTTCCCGAGAATCTCAAGGGCAACCCCAGCGGGTCACTCAACAACAGGAACGAGACCCAGCTGTACATAGTGCCGCTGATGATCTTTAGGCACAAGTGTCTTCATAAAGATATCAGCTGTGTTGGCACCGGAGGCCAAGTGTACTACGCGCGCCTGGCGACGCTGCTGCAGCTCACGCAGGAGGAAGTACCGCAGCTGAATGTGCTTCGCTCTGCCCTCGAGTCGAGGCTCCTGACACAGGAGGATCGTGGCCCTGTTGTCAGCGTACAAGACTGGGGCAGAGCTAGGCTGCTCACCTAAGTCAGTGAGCAAGAAGGCCAGCCAGCTGAGCTCCTACCGTAATCCCCTGGATATAACACCCGCCGAAATAGTCACTCCTATTAGAAATAGAAGTGTTAGTGATACAGAGAGAGTACACACAATATAGCTAAGTGTTGTACCCTCTAAGAGGCTACCCTATACAGTCTATACAAACATAACACATAGACATGTTTGACACACCCCCTAGACTGCATAGGGGAAAGTCCTAAACAAACAGCTCAGGGCGGCACTACTAGTCCAACCTCTGAGACAAGGGTCTGAGCGACCAGTCAGAAGGAGTACAGACAAGGCAAGCACAAGAGCAGGGCGGCACTACTAGTCCAGCCACTGGGATAGGACACAAGTCCAGTCTGAGTATACATATAAAGGACAGTACAAAGTCAAGGTCCTAGCAAGTGAGAGGCTACAGGAACTAGACCAAGCTGTACACAGTGTCGCTGATGATCTTTAGGCGCAAGCGCCTTCGTAAAGATATCAGCCGTGTTGGCACCTGAGGCCAAGTGTACTACGCGAGCCTGACGTCGCTGCTGTAGCTCACGCAGGAGGAAGTACCGCAGCTGAATGTGCTTTGCTCTGCCCTCGAGTCGAGGCTCCTGACACAAGAGGATCATGGCCCTGTTGTCAGCGAACAGGACCGGGGCAGAGCTAGGCCGCTCACCTAAGTCAGTGAGCAAGAAGGTCAGCCAGCGGAGCTCCTGTGCCGCCATGGCACCGGCGTAGATCTCAGCCTCACAGCTGGACTGTGCAACAGACGAGGAGCGAGTAGCTCTCCACGAGACGGCACCTGAGCCAAGGCTGAAGCAGTAGCCCTGGGTAGACCGGAGTGTCTCAGCGTCGTCTGCCCACGAAGCGTCTGTGTGCCCAGTAAGGACCGCTGGCCTGCGTCCTCCTAGCACTAACCCCATGCCCGATGTACTAGCAAGATAACGCAGAACCCTCTTAGCGGCAGACCAGTGCTGAGGTCGGTGTCTGCCTGTGGCCACAAAGCGAGCCAGGATGCTGAGAGAGTATGCGAGATCTGGGCGAGTGCAAGTCATCAGGTACATGAGGCCGCTGGGCTCTACCAACTCCTCAGCACTGGAGCGGAGAGCCTGTGGTCTACAGGCAGAGGGGTGGGCTGTGCAGAGGAGAACTGAAGGCTGAACCTCTGAAGGACCTGGCGCACCAAGTGTGACTGAGTCAGGGTGATGGTGCGCGCAGCTCTGTCCCTGGAAATCTGCAGGCCAAGGTAACGGCGCAGTTCTCCAAGGTCAGTGCACGTGTGTCTCTTCAGCAGCTCTGCCTTCACGGAGGCCAGCGCGTCCCTGTCTGCTGTGGCAAAGACCAGGTCGTCGACGTAAACGAGGATGTAGAACGGAGTCTGGCCAGCACGAACGAAGAGTGAAGGGTCTGCAGAAGACGGAAAGAACTGCAGGTCAGCAAGCGTAGCACGCAGAGTGTCGTGCCACTCACGGGGAGCCTGGCGCAGGCCGTAGACGGGGCGCCGCAGGAGCCACTGGGTCCAGGAGGGAAGGTGCCAGTAAAGCCCGGGGGCGGCGCAGGTAGACCTGCTCGTGTAGGCTGCCCTGAAGGAAGGCAGTGGAGAAGTCGAGTGAGTGAAGCTCGTAGTCACACTGAGCAGCTAGGTGTAACGAACCCGAAGAGTAGTCATCTTCGGGGTCGGAGCGAAAGTCTGGAAGAAGTCCACCCCTCGCGCTGACTGAAGCCTCTAGCCACATAGCGCGCCTTGAAGACAGGCGGCTCTCCAGGAGGGCGCTTCACCTTGAAGAGCCAGCGGCCATCGACTACGTTCACCCCAGGCGGGGGAACTGCGTCGACGAAGGTGCCGGTGGATCTCCAAGATGCCATCTCCTGCTCCATGGCAGCTATCCACTGCGAGGCCCAGGGTCCCGAAGTCGCCTCAGCGTAAGTGCGAGGGGTCGGGATGTCGAAAGCGTCTGGGTCACCCTCAGGGACTAGCAGCATGGAACAGAGATGGGGAGCAGCCTCGGAGAGGAAAGCAAGCTCGAACTGGCGGTCCTCCAGGACGTCACTGCCAAGGGCAGGAGCACCCCCGACAGACGGAGGACAGGCAGGGTCAGAGACCAGAGAGAGGCGTAATCAAGCGGCGGGTAGAGGCGAAGTCAGCGACAGCAGCGACAAGAGCGTCAGGCACGAGACCGGAACAGACGGGTCGGTAACGAGGGAGGCAAGGACCCGAGGAACGAGAGGACGAGCGGCACGAAGGTAGTCGGACAGCGGGGGGGGGCGCAACAACAAGGGAGGACGGAGGAGGCGACGGCAGAAGGGGAGGACGAGACGCGTGTGAACGAAGCAACATAGGGTGGGAGCGCAAGACAGGCGAGGCAGGACGAGCAGGGAGGGACGGTGAGACCAGACGTGCGACGGAGGAGTCGGGTCAGGAGACAGGGGAGGGGACACAGGAGGGGAACGAGGGGGGGACGGGCCGGGGACGAGTCCGGCGGAGGGAAAACAGGGCCGTAGACAGGAAGAGGAGGAGACGGCGGGGAGGAACCGACGCAGGGTCGGGGGACGGAAGGCCGCAGAAGGGCGGACACCGGCGGGACTGCTGCTGCGGCGGCACAACGGCGACACCTGGACCGCAAGCTCCTCGGCTACCACCGGCACTCTCCACACCCGCACCCCCAGAGGGACCACCCTCAGGGCGACCGGGACGAGCACCCCCAGAGTCAGCGAACGGCGACTGCGGCGGCGGCGGCGGCGCGGCGACGCGGCGGCTGCAGCGGCGGCAGGGGCGGAGGAGGGGACTGGGGAGGGGACACCTGGGGAGGGGCGGCCGGCGAGGACTGCACCGGAGGGCCACCAGAGTCAGAAGACTCCTCAACCGGGTCCACGGACGGAAGGGGGGTGACGTGGGAGACACACAGAGGGGGCGGGACGGGGAGGAGGAGGAGGAGGGCAGGGACTACCGGGAAGGGGTGACCAGGAACAGGGGAGGGGTAACCGGGGGACATGTGACGCAGACGCGGGAGCGCAGGGTGACCTAGGCGGTGGTGCCACAGGAGGGTCGGGTGAGTGAGGGAGCGACAGGAGCAGGCAGCAGCAACCTGGGTAGACACAGCCACCTGAGGGGGCGCTCCAGCCGGGGGGACACGGTGTCCAGAGTGAACAGGCCGGACACCGGGTCCCGGGGAACGTGGACAGGGGGCACCAGTGGCGGCCTCGGTACAGACAGCATACCGCTCGTGACCAGGGAACGTAGTGGTGACGCCAAGGTCTTGGAGGCAGCCGACACCAACTAGGTTCCTGAGAACGAGGGGATATGCAGACATGTAAGAGAGCCCGAAGGAATCGCCGGGCAGGGAAGGGTGGTGGAACTGCGGCGACTACCGGACCGCCGGAGGGTCAGCAAGAGAAACGGCAGCAGGAACAGGAAGCGGCGTTAGGGTGGTGGAGTCGCGGAAGAAAACACCGAGAGGCGCCAGAGTCCAAGGTGAAGGAAAGCAAAGCCGGGGGGTCTGGCGACGGAACGACGGTAGAAGCACCAAGACTACACAAAGCAGGGGATCCTACGCCTGACGCAGCAGGGGAGGCTAAGCTAGGCACACCTACACTAGGCAACGGTGAGTAATAAGCCGGAAGCACACTAGAGTCATCAGCATACATCACATGCAGAGCAGAAACAATGGCATCCATGTCCATATCAAAGATCTGAATCTGACGACTAAGCAAACTGTGCCAGTCCGGGAGGTCTGGCGACGGGCCGAAGCGCTGACCGAAGAGGTCGTCCAGGCGACGAAAACAGCGGGGAGTGGAGTGACCGATCTTACGCAAACGAAGCCGCGGCGAGGACCGGTCTGGATCTGGTACTGACAACGCCCGCCGCAGAGCCACCACGCGGCACACCACCACGCGCCGTCCACCGCCAGCGCCGGGCCACCCTGGCGGGAGGACACTCGTCTGCCGCGTCTGCAACGACTGCTGCGGCTGCTGCGAAGGCAACGACTGCGGCGGCTGCTGCAACTGCAGGGGCGGCGACTCAGCTGGACTGGGCAGGGTCCCCTCGTCCGCTCCAGCACCAGGCGACCCGACCCCACCACTACCCCC